TGGCTTCCAACAACTGAAGTTAGTGAGGAAGCCAGCAGGAAGTTGCAAGTCCCAGGCGGCTAGCAAGCAGGCCAGCAGGCGGGTAAGTGGCTGCTACCAGGTGGGAGAAGGGGTGTGTGAATGGCCAGGGAGGGTGTGCAAGTGGCAGGGGAGGTGGTGCAGCAGGGCTTGGGGTAGCTGCTGCCGGGTGGGGGAAGGTGCACAGGTGGCTGGGGAGATGCAGCGCAAGCACAGCAAGGCTCATTGAGGGTGTGCAGATGGCTGGGGAGGTGTGGTGAAGCACAGAGGGGCTGAGGGAGAGTGCGCGGGTGGGGGAGATTTACCAGAGCAATTTGTGACCTTCCCTGTGGCTTCCCCTTTGACTTTCCTTGTGGGAACCTGGCAAGGAAGTTTGCAAATCGTGATCACATGACCACGGGACGCTGCAACCATCGTAAGTGCAAGCCGGTTGCCAGGCGCCCAGATCACGATCACGTGACCATGGGGGTCCTGGGACGGCCAGAACTTGAAGGACTGGTTTTAACCACTGCTCGTTCAGCACCATTGTAGCTTAGATTACCAGTGTGTACATTCAGGCTGTTAAAGCATTTTGCAAGATAAAAACCTACAGAGTTACATTTTTGGTCTTTGGATTGACAGCACTCCGACAGCAGAGGCAAATACATTCCTGGAGGATATTTATGATGTTTTGAATAAAGGGCCAGTAAATATCATTATTAATAAAAACCAGTGATAAATACCCTGCCCAAATATTTAATTTCAGTTTATTATGGACAGCAAACAGATACAAAAAACAAAAGCATACATACAAAAGAAAAAGACCAAAAAAAAAAACACCAGATACAACATTCAAGCTTGTTTTTCACTGTGGATCCTCTGCCACAGTTTGAAGCTAGGTAACAAAACTTTGCAACATTGTATGTTACATAAAAAACTTTGTCTACCAGAAAAAAATCAACATAGAAGTCATCCAAATGGCCAAGATTGCTGCCAGAAGAGAGAGAATAAGATCTTGACTCATTGTCACGTAAAATCTACGTTATAAAAGAAAGTGAGATTGAGTCAACCTCTTCTATGCTATAGGAACATTATGGTATCTGCTTTGGAAGAGCGCAGAGGAAAGGGTGTTACAATATATCCTAATGAAGGGCTTCTGGCATTTTTTGTGTAGGAAGTGTAGGAAGGTAGGAAGCCATATCTTTTCATATCATAAAAGCTGCCAAGAATCTTTGGATTGCAGCACAGGATATAAATGAGAGAGAGAGAGAGAAAGAATCATATTTTTGGTCTGGGACCAGTCAAGGTTATATGAAGCAGTCTGGGGAAAGCCACATAAAATCAATTTCTGCTTAAAGAACTTCTTCAGGCTGGATTGGAAGATATTGCTTGAAACAGAGTAGAACAGCCCAGTGAGTCGATAAATGAGTTTGAGCCAATAACTTTATTACTATCTAGGCTCTTGTTTCTGTTCTAATCACACTTAATTTCAGCCTTAAAGATCACATTAGAAACACACTTAGGAGTGTTAAGTATAGAACTAAGAAATCTAGATTGTGCAGATTAAAGTGGTCTGAAGAGACATGTTTGTATCAAGACTACCCCAAGTAATGGGTATGCTAAGACGTTTGTCTGGAATGGTTTTATTGCTACAGGCAAATACTTGTGGGGGAGGGGGGGGTTAGATTTTTTTTATCTAAATGATAAAAAAAATGATAATATTGTAAAATTGCTGAAGTGATTCTTTGAGCCATGTTGGAGGTATAATCAGCATAAACTGACCAAAGTATTAAAAGCCAACATTTTTGCCATTCCATAAATGCAAATATATTAATCACTTAAAATCTCATCTTTATTTGTAGTGAACCCTGGAGGCTGGGCACCAGCTTCTGTACTACGGGCAGTAGCAAAACGAGAGTATCCCAAATTCTTGAAACGATTCACATCATACGTACAAGAAAAAACAGCCGGGAAGCCTATTTTGTTCTAGTATTATCAGGTATGTATAATCCCATGGGCTTTTGCTATATATTATTATTTCATCAATAGTTATATAGACACTTCAGATGTACTGAAATACTTGGAATGCTTCTTAAAATTGGTTTTAAATATAGTATAATATAGGAGTATGGGAGACAAGACAAATTTAGAATTGGGAGAAATAAGAGGTTAAGGTTAGGATTATAATTTGGGGGTTACATTCTTGATACCAGAATGTTCTGGAAACTTCTCAGTACCTTCCAGGCTCCTCATCTCACTGAATCCTTCCTTCCTCCTTCCCTTCCCCTTCCCCTTCCCCTTCCTCCCTCCCTCCCTCCCTAATTGGGGACCTTGCATGCTGCAAACCAAACAGCCAGCCATTATACTGATAATGCTCACTTACTGACTACTTGTTCAAAGTTACAATGGCACTGAAAAACAATACTTACGGCCGGTCCTCTAAATTGTGGCCATTGCAGCATCCCTGTGGTCATGTGATTGAGATTCAGGCATTTGGCAACCAGTTCACGTTTACTTTTTTTTTTAACATATTTTTTATTAAGAATTCTGATTACAACAATAAAAAACTAATACAAACTAAGCTTAGAGAAAGAGAAGAGAAGAGAAAAAAAGAATAAAAAGTGTAGGGAAAAAGAAAGAAGAAAAAGAAAAAATACAATAAAGAAAAGAAATATATAAAGAAGTGACTTCCAACCTTCATCACAACAGGTATAAACAAATTTAGTAATACTTCCTCTTAAATTACAACAAATGATCTCTTTTTCCCATATCCCATCTCTTATCTATAACCAAATCCATAAAACATCAACTTTTCAATCCTGGTGTCAGTAAAAAGTCTTTAAAGGGTTGCCAAAACTTTGTAAAAAAAAAAAAAAAATCTTCTTTTAACATTGATCAAATAACCCAACTGTATATTCCTTCCCTTTTCTTCTAACAGTCTTAATCTTTAATTCAAATATTGTTGTAGGATTTGATTTCTCTTCTACTCTTCTTTATCTCATCACACAGATTTCTTCAAGGCTTTAACAAGCCTCTTTTGTAGATTCAATAAGAAAACATTTTCGGGGTCATTCTCTTGGTTTATCATTTGTATTTCCCATTTAATTTTTAAAACTTCAGTCAGTTTCTTTTGTATATCCAGTAAAGAGTCCTTTTCCAAATCATTCTCTTGGCCTGTTGTTTATAGTTCCACTTTCGATACTTTGTCTTGTCACATAAAATTTGTTACACGTCTGTCATTCCTTCATTAATATCTTTTGAACATAGTCCATCCATAGAAGCAAACATCGTTATTAACAGTGTTGATACTGTAATTACTAATTTCTGGCTCCATTCTTCAAAGATCTTTTGTGTCATTTTGTAAGTCCCAGTATTAACTGACATCAAGAACAGGCTTGTATTTTTTTTTTTCTTTCTGCTTAGAATTACTTGCCCCTTCTAGTGTCCAGTTTCTAAAATCATAAAGTCGCTTATTTTTGTTATGAACCAAGATAGCCAAAATAACTCTGGTTCCCCTGAGAAGCTATTCATTTTTTATAGTTAATTCCAAAATCTTATAAAAGAAGTCAATATTCCAAATTTATCTGGATCTTTAATCCGTTTATAACTTG